AAAAACTATTACGTTAAAAGGATTTTACAAAAATAAAGGGTAAAAAGAAACAAAAAGCCAAACCTACACCTCTAATGTCCACGACCCCCCACAAAACGTGCGGCAAAAAAAAGGCGAGGTGCTTGGCTCCCTGAAGCCCTCCCCAGTGAACACCACCTTGGGCGCACTTGAGAAGTATGGGTTCGGTTCCCGTACTAGCCTTGCATATGGGTAGTTCCCAAGTTAGGTTCCCATTTTGGTACCCCTAAATATTAGGTGTCGTATTGTAATCTATAACCCTTAACATGCATCTAGGGATAGTTAGATGGTGCCAGTGTTGCAGGGAGCAGGCTGCCAGGGCCCCAATGAAAATCATGGAGTTGGAAAGTCGGGGATGTCTACGAGACAGCAGAACTCATGCAACTGACAACTACCGCATCTGAAGCTCTGCCTGCTCAGATGTGCTACGGAGACCTGGATGATCACATGTTTCAGGAAACAGAAACATGCAACATGCAAAACCACAACCTTGAGCGCTCAAGAAGGCAGCATCCAGAGCAGTTTGGAGTCTGAGGGCTGTCAATGATCAAAACAGTAAACAGTCTGCACGGTGCGGATGGGGGCTTTGGACAAGAAATGGTTCGCGGGTCAGACCCACCAACAGAATCTCGTAAACTACAGCTACTGCAAGCTCCAAAAAGGCGAGCTTTCGTAAAAGAGAAAGCACCGCGCAGCTGTTCGGATCAGAGCGCTTCCCTGCAGCACACAATGTTGAGTTTGCCTCTGGCATGTGATTTCGACAGTTGCGCGGAGATATGACAAGAAAAAATCCAAAAGGAAGTTGCACACACACAGCACCATCATCAAGCAGGGTCCCGGACAGTTGCGCCACCAAGCATGGAGCCGATGTGCGGGGACATGCGATCCACCTTCACAACACTGGACGGAGGGCTAACATTTCTGAGCTCAAAGGTGGTCAACGCTGTCTCCATGCACATGCAAATGATCTCAGTGCTTCCTGCTGCAAGCTCAGCCTGATTCAGGTCACCATTGATCACATCGATGTGGTCCTGGCCATTAAGCGTAAATTGCCGGGGCAGCCATACCATCAAGGAAGCTTGGGCAAGACGCAAGGCTTGGAAAGAGTCTTTGTGATTCACTCGCGGTAGACTCTCATGTTAAGGACACCTCACTTAATCACCCTCCCAAAGGACTTCGGCCATTTATCCCTGCAAAAGTGCTGCTCTGGAAGGGGTGAGTAACAGTGAGAAACGAAGCTGCACAGTCCGTGAGCTTCTTCCGGTAGGCGCGCTCGACTTCCTCACGCTCACAACAACATCCAAGCTTTCAAGGATGCAGGATGCGCTGGATTCCGATTTGGGTGCCCATATGCACTGCGAAGGAAATCTCTGTGCTGGGGCTCTGTAGGCAGTTCATGTTTAGCTGCGGGACGTCAGCATCATGTTCAACGAGGACTCCTCAAGGTTGCCAAGACACACCCTTTAGGCGTCCAGAACATCCGATCATATTCCAAGTCAGGATGAATGGCTTCTGTCTTTGGGCGTTAGGTTTTGCAAGCCTTCTCGTCCCGTTTTCGCATTGACATATCTGGTACAACCGGAATCTGATACAGGTATGCGAAAGATGACAAGAGAATAAATTGACAGTATCGACGACAAGAATACTAAACCTACAAAGCATAGAAGGAGAGAACCGACACTGTCAGCTCAATGCAAGTACGGACTAAAATGCACAGCGAAGGGAAATTTGCACGCCGCATTGCTGTTTGAAGAGCTTGTTCTACCAGTTGCCTCGCGTCTGCCACTCCCCGAATTGCTGTTACAAGTGCTTCCTCTTGTGTCCTTTTTAAGACCCAACCATTGTCTTTTTCTGGCAGCTCCTGAGAACCCATGCCAGAGAGGGGCGAGAAGTCGGTCCAGCCTGCAGCACCGAGCTTCCCTGACCCTTGTAGACATGCACCGCATCATCCACATGTGGGTTGTCCAGAAGACGAAAGCAAACAACAGGCCTACACACCTGCAGAGTTCCGCACGCATCTCCGTCTCCCCCTAGCGTCTTTTGGAACTGTGGCATTTTGTCGATCTTGGACGTGGCGTCTCCCCGAGTCACTTGTGAAGTGCTGTGCTAGACATTAGCATCATTAGCAAGGCTCTCCAACGCATTCTTAGTTGGAGGCACCTGAAAAACCATCAAGGCTTGCAAGTTCGGTGTTGCCAGCAACGTCTGGTATTTCTCCTATGTCATTCCCTCTACCAGAAACATTGTATGCCTTCATAAGCAATCCTCACGCGCAACTTGCAAATAACATGTTCAAGCTTCAAGCTCATGGTCGTTCAACTGTGTGCTCAGCTGCACTCAACGAACCATGATACCAATTGATGCCATCAGGCCTTTCCAGCCCGCCATCATCCACATCTCCTTGAAGAAGCAAGGTAAGGGTTCCAGCGGATGGATTCTAATAGCAGCCTGTAATATACAAATAGAGTTCCTGAGCACCACCTTGACAACAACACATCTAGGGGAAAAATGTTACGCTCCATTCAATATCTAAAAGCGTGCTCATGCTGCTGCTTGTTTGCGCCACACTTGAATCAAAACCGAAGCTCTGTCCTGGTGGCTTCACACCAAACCCTAAGCCTTGAATCCTACACCCTGAACCCTCAACGCTGAGCCCAAACCCTCAACTAAACCCTTAGGAGGTGCCACACTTATCGTCAACTCCTGGACTCTCCTTACTCTGAGGCTTCTGCACACATGGGAGTCTCTCCAAAGGAGGGGACTTTAGGGATCTGTTGGGATTGTGTTGGGCTTATGGGATCCTTATTATGGGTAGAAGTCATAACGAGAAGATGTTGAGACACTCCCCCCCATCCCCGCAGCCTAAAGTTCCAAAAATAGCTCGCCGGCTGAGGCGGGGACAAGGATCCCGGCAGTCGCCAAGGGGGTCAAGAAAGTCACCTGGTTGATGAAGGACCATTTATGGGGGCATTGAGGAGATTATGGGATCATTTCTATGGGCTATAAAGAGATTATTAGCTTTCAGTATATGATAGTTTCCCAAAATACGGGGACCCCAATATAGACCCCAAAATACTACAATCCTGATTATTGGGACTCTGAAAAGGATATCCCTGATTCTGGGAAACCCCCATAGACCCTCTAGGCTTGTGACCTTGGCTTCGGTAAGGGTGCATATCACTCATCTTTCAATATCGTAGTTGAATAGCGTAGGGGACTACTTAGGGGGCTCTGGGGGACTTAACAAGTAGGTTAACGATGGGGATAACTATGGGCACTATATGGGATATGGGGGTTATTAACCTACTTACTTAGTCCCCCCGACCCTCCAAGTATAACCCCCCATGGCAATACAAAGAGTCCCACAAGGTGCACCCAATGCTTGGAAACCTCCACATGGGGCTTGAAAACACAGGCTCAACGTCTCTCCCAGTCGAGGTTAGAATCCGGGGATCAGGGTGAGTTACAGCATACTTACGTAGCTATTATTAGCTATGTGAAGACCATCTTATGGAGTTCTTTTGATTCTGAAGCCGAGCAAACTTGGGGCTAATCTCCATCTGAATCAGGTGATGATACTACGATTTGCCTGGCCAAGGGCCACCATGACTTGGTGGAATACCGTGCTTGGCACCCGCGCTCACTGCCACAAATACTAACATGCCCTCGAAACAAAGATGTTCCACCCTTGAAAAACTGCTAAACCGGAATCCACAATCTCCACATCGCCTACACTGAAGTTTAGCTTCCGGCACGGTTGCTCAACTGACGGGCACAAGAGGCCACAACTCTCGCTCTTTTGGATTTCTATAGATAGTCCGATTGATCATCAATCCACGCACGTTACAATCAGCACTGTTGCTTCTTGCCCCTAGTGCAGAAAGCCATGATAAAGGCTCAAACAACCCTAAACCCTAAACAATCTTGACACAAACTTTTCAGTCAACACAGAGGCTGCCACTGACTTCTAAGCTACGTTCCGACAAAAATGCCATGCCTGCCTGCTGTAAGGAGGGTTTAGGGTTTTGGGGTTTAGGGTGAGGGTTTAGGGTTTAGGGTTTACAACTTCCTAATCACCTCCATTTCAACATTCTGACAGAGCGGTTCCTTGTTCCCTTTGGTAGGGCTCCTTGAGTTCCACCCCAAGGATCCCCAAACCCTTCAAAATGGTATAGTAGTTTCCCTAAACAGGGGAACCTCAATAGCAAGCCCCCAATACTGTAATCCTCAAATTCCTTATATAGGGAACCCCCCAATACTATAATCCTTATATTCCTTATATGGGGAACCCCCCCAAACCCTATAATCCTCATAATCCTCATTATAGGGAACCCCCAAGACAGCACCCCTATTTTCGGGAAAGCACTAAATTCATCCTGGATGCCGAGGTCGGCGTCACGTTCACGTCGGGCACCTCCACAAGTCCCAGGTAGACCTGCAGAATGAAAGGGTTTAAGGGTTTAGGTGTTTAGGTGTTTAGTATGGTTTTTGCTCTTTTTTTGGGGTGGGGGATGTGGTTTAGGTTTAAGGGTCTTAGGTTCAGGGATTTAGGGGTGTAGGTTTAGGTTTAATAGGGTTTATGAATTTTACGGTGTTTATAGGGCTTTGGGTTTAGGGCATAAGGTTGTCGCAAAAAGGTTCCAGCGCTCCATAGCACCTGCGGATCTTACCCGTGCAGAATCAAATGGGAAAGAACATGGAAAATGACATGGAAATTGGTATCAGAAATGATCGTACATTGCAGCAGCAGGACCATCAGGTGCAAGGGCAGTTTTCGGAGAGCTCAAACTTGCACGACGAGGAATGTCCTCAATGTTGCATCATGCAAGCCGCCATGCCTATCCCACCTTAGGGGCACACAATGGTACCTCTACAGGGAAGGCACTGTACAAGCAAGCCTCTGTACAAGGGAGGCTTCTGCTACGCTGTCGGCAGTGGGCGACAGCTCTTGAGCAAGAGCTCGAAAACTGATGAGTATCTGGTCACTTGCCCTGCTTCATCATCAGGGAACGCTTCTTTTGGGTCTTCTGCATCTGTGTCTCCTACAACGCGATTTTTTTGAGGAACGGCAGGACACACACAAGTTTTTTGACAGTTTCAATGCACATCAAAAATGCAAACCCCCGAAGCTGAATGCGTCTCCTCGTCGCCGTTGGGCTTCCACAGGCCTCGGTGGAGAACTTCAGCCGCAGCGTCATGGACCTTCTCCCAGCCGTGGAAGCGGCCACGCTGGCTCAGCGTGCCGACAGCATTCGGAAAAGCGTGATGCACCTGCGTCCATATTTCTTTAGCGGTTGGACTGCTGCAACCTGACACGGGTTAACAGCAAGGGGAAGGGGAGGCAAGGGAATGGGAAAAGGCAGTGGACCTGCATTTTTTGGCGGTTGGACTGGTGCAACCTTATGCAAAGACAGACGAGGCACATCATGGAACAGCATCTCGTTCCAGCGGTGCTTTCCACCAAGAACCTTGAATCCCGAGCAGCCAACTGAAGGTAGCAATCAAACTTATCTTACTAACAACTGAAAACTCTTCTACCTGGCGTCTGGGGGACAAAAGCCATGACATTGTGGAGCACCGGCCAGGTGCGCGCCGGATCCTGCGCGAGGAACTCGTTCCAAGGGAGACCTTTCTGGTCAAATACTACGGGAACAAAAGTTCCAGCTTGCAACCACCTTTCAATGGTCTCAGCCTTTCACAAAAGCTTGATCACGAGCAGCCACGACACTATGGGTGAAGTTGGTGATAAACATCCACGCCGAAGAGAACCCAATGCGGGCGAAGAAGGACACCGTGAACATGAATCGCCAACCCTCGCTCAGGGGGCGTCCCAGTGGGTAAGTGCCAAGCAGCCACACGCAGGCCCACAGGGAGAGCACAAAGGCATTGTGCTTAATTCGACGTGGGACCCACTTTGTCCAGAACCTTATTTGGCAACGGCGAGTGCCGAGACGAGCTAGGATGCTGTGCAAGGACTTATGGATCTTGATCTAGTTGCCAAATATCAACTGCAGTCGAACTGAGTCTGACAAGTGTGCGTTTGTCTTCATTCACTGTCAGAGTCCAAACGAAGGACTGTCAGGCTAAGGAGCTCCTTGTTGCACTTGCCGCCCGCGCCCTCATCTGGGAAGTGCATCCACCACTCTAGGGCGAAGAGAGAGCCAGTGCCATTCAGGCCAAAGAAATGGATCACGGGAATGAACGGCACGGTGAGCAGGTACTTGTACCAATTGGAGCTCCATGGCCCTGCCCACTGCTGAAGGGCATAATGGAACTCCTCGGGGTCCCAGCCGAACTCACCCTGGATCAGCAAGTCGACAGTGGACGCATGATGCCTCAATGGCTGGTGGAGTGTGCAATTTTCGAAGGACAAGTGAAAGCAAAGGCTGACACGTCACCACTTCTGACCTACTACCCTGCCTGTTGTGTTCCAGGACGAACTCTTCCCATGGCAGGCCTGAGCATTACTTTGAATTTTGAAGGCCCCAACATTATTGCTGAATAGGATCCCTTGTACAACAATCAGGAAGGTTCAAAATGATCCCAAAGTGCCACCCAGGAGGCTGAAAAAGTCTGCAAACCTTACTCGCACTTCAATCCACCAAACATTCAGTTTTCGGCTTGTTCAATGTGAAAAGGGAAAGATGATCCCCAAAAGTGCCACAAAGTAAAAAAACAAAATGAAAAATGCAACCAAGAAACGGGTGCGTGAGGAAACGCTGCCATTCGTACACAGGGAATGTGGCGCCATGCATCACGTCATGGTCAATGTAAATCCTTGCCGGCCAAAGCATCAAGCACATGTCTAAGGCAAGAACTAAATGAGCTGCGCATTTGCAGCATCCAAACTTTCTGATACTATGCTGCTGAGGCTCTGCTGGATGGCAATGTACGAGAAAGGAAGACCGAAGCACAGCGTGCAGGTCCACCAGTAATCTGGAAAGGTAGCCAGGGCTCCACAGTAGGCAATCACCATCAGAACTTGACAAGTGAAGATTGCCTTTGCTTCTCTCAACAAGCAGGAAAATACTTATCGTCTAGGAAGGCATCATGTAAGCCAAGGACCGAAAGACCAAAGAACTACCGAAGATCAGTAGCGTTGCTGTCAGCACGTTCCACATGTAAATCATTTGCTCCTCGCGCGAAAATGAAAATGAAAAGTTGAAGACAGCAGGAGACTTGCAAAAGATGTTGCTAACCAAAATTCTCAAAAGCTTGCCATATCTGAGTAGGATCTGGAGTGATCTTGGTGAAGAGGAACGCCAGATTCTGCGGCATGGGGTCCGGCTTGTTCGGAGTAGGGAAGAGCCGGTTTGTCTTCAGACTCCGGTTCTCGTTGTTCTTCTGGACCGAGAGCATCTTGTCGTTGCTGGGTGCAACGCCTGCTGCGTTGGGGTCCCCTTCGCCTGGAAGGGCGTTCTTCAACGCAGCGATCTCGTGGTCATTTTCCTGGTGCAAAAAAGCTCGACGACTGCTTGCAAAGTCGCTCGACTGTTTATCTGAGCAATCCTGAGTTCGAAGCTATTGCAAACAAAACCTTCCCAATCAATGTCCGGCTTCGTACTTGCGCTTCAGCTCCTCAAGGTACTCATCTGCGCCGTAGAAGATCGAGGCCTTGGAGTGGCCCTGGCGGAGTCAAGCATTGAAGCATGCTGACGGGCTTCCGGGCCTTCCGGGTAGGGGTCAGGGACAGGCGGGGGGCCAAAACTCGGCAGCCAGCCTTGCCCTCCTTGGCCAGGAGCGGCGCGCTGGTTGCCATGGACGGAATGGCAATCGAAAAGGGTAGTGTATGTGATTGGCTGAGCCAAACAAATCTCTGCAGACAAGTTCAGACTACTTGTCTCAGCAAACAGCGGGGAAAGTTTGCAGCGCAAAAGCAACCTGAACAATTGCCAGTATAGGTGCTGTGACTGTCACCACGCATCCATGGAAAGGTTTACCAGCTGGCCGTTATCATGCTGGCAGCTGCTGCTGCTGCTGCTGCTGCTGCTGCTGCTGCTGCTGCTGCTAGCAAATATTACAAGCATGCCTTCTCTGGCCATTGGTTAGCTAGGAATGAAGGACTGGATCCTTACAGTAGTCAGTAGTCCCTATATAATCCATCATAGGCGTTTCCATGTTCTTTTCCATTCCTTCATTCCCAGCTAACCAAAGGCCAGCTTCTGTGCTGCTGGCCCCCAACCCTGGCCGCGCCTTGACTTCGGCATCTGACAAGCCGTCGAAGTTGCGGCCTGATGGAGGCCGGCCCCAGACGTGCCACTAACATGGGAGCTTGCCTAACTGTAAGCAGCTTGCACGGAATTTGCGGAGGTCATGTCATGAAGATATCAGGGCTATATACATATATACATATATATGTATACAGGGTCCTCTTAGATAACAGGGACTCTAGATTCTACTAGGAACCCTAGCACAGGGATCCACAGGAGCGCTTGGTCACAAAGTGGAGCCTCATTGTTCAATTCCAATGTGTGACTGACTGTAGCATCCCTGGCTAGTTTTGAGACAGCCGCTTGTCCTAGGAGCACGAGTATGAGTATGGGTCATCTGTAACACAAGCAAAATGAGCCCAAAGCCTCAGTCACTCACAAAACATAACCCCTCAGTCCAAAATTGGTTCAGGGTTTAAGGTTTAGGGCTGCCAGTGACTCGAGAAAGGTCTAGGAGGCTGCACGTCCGCAGAGCCTTCACGGTACTCTGGGGCTCTGAAGCAAGCATCCTGCAGAACCGTTCCTTTCCGTTTTCTAGTTCCTGCAGAACGCCCATGGGGGGTTTCCCAAAAATTAGGGGTACCCTTGTTTGGGGTCCCTCTAATAAAGAATCTAGTAATCTAGTAGTTTGGGATCTACATTGGGATCCCCCTCTTTTGGGAAACCACCGCATACCTGTCGTCTCTAGTTGTGGGCCTGACACCCTGAAGCTCCCACATTATCCAGTGCACCTATCAACTGGACGACTGCCCCACGGCTGATGTTGAGCGTGTCCTGGGGATGAGTTGGTTCTGAACTCCGTAGGAGGTGTGCACGTCAAAGTCCAAGGTTTCTAGGCAAATCTAAACAAGTTCAGCTTGGGACTTTGAGAAGCAGGATTGGCTCAGATCGACACAAAACTGACAGCTGGCAAAGCAGCCTCAATTCTGGCAGCTTGTTGGGCAATCAAACAAAACAGAGTGAGAAGAGTCGCTCTTGCGGTTCAACAGTACCACATGAGATGGACAATGGCTCCAATGACGCCATCTACCACAGGATTCTTAATCAGCTGGCAATGACAATGGACCACCTGGCATTCATCGACGTTGCAACCACCATCTGCATACCTCTTACCAATGAAAGAACCGGATGGTGTGCACAAGACAACCTCAGAAGACAGCCTGGTTCTGGAGGTTGCAAACCCTGTGAAACCAACCACATTTGCATGACAGCGCAGGGCATTCTGCGCCAGCACCCGGAAAACTCGCTCGCCTTGTTTCATGGCCCTAGATACAAACACTTACTTACTTCCTCAGAGCACCATACTATTACCATTATGATGATTATTACACAAGTATTTCTATCATTACTCTTGTTACTTTAACAACTCTTATCTTATTACTCTAACTACGCTCTTACGTACTATTACTCTAATTACTCTAGTTACATATTACTACCTCATGACTTGTTGAGTCTGTCCTCGCCATCAACTAGCATCCTTTCCACTGTTGGCTGATCTGCCTCACCTGAAGACATGTGAGGCTTCACAAAATTTGAAGTTCCCTTTTCTGGTGTCCCTGTAATAAGGATTATAATGTTTGGGGTCTATGTTTGGGAACTCCCATTTAGGGAAACTACCACATGTCATTGGAAAGGATCAACACACTGGTCTGCCTAGTTAGGTCCTGGATTCACACGACAGTTCTGTTGGGCGGGATAGGACCCTTGTGCCCTCAGTGCACATGGGTAGAAATGAAAGGGTAGAAATTGAATGCAAAAGAAAATGGAAACGACCTTTTGGGGTTTAGGACTTAGGGGTTGAAGCTACTGCTGGGAGTTATTTCTCCCTTCCTTATACCAGTAAGCCTTGATTCCTATCACTCTCGAAGAGTGTCAGTAGGTCTTTTTACAGGGAACATATGGACACGTATGACTATAGCAGGGATATATAGGGGGATTGGAAAGGAAAATCGAAACCAGTCTTGAGGGTGCGAGGTCTAAAGTTTAGGCTCGGGGGACTTAGTCAGTAGATTACTGCTCGTGATGAAGGGGGGGTACTACCTGGCTAATAGGGGTAATGAGTCCTTGCTACGTCCCTCGTCCAAGTGCGTCTTGTGTGTAGCATCGGAAGGGTTCGAGGGAGAGGGTCAATCCACGATGATAATGTTTCTTCTCAAAGCAATAACCGGAGTTCAAGCAAAGCAGGCACAAAATCTCAACCCAAGCCACTCAGGAAGGTAAAGCCAAAGGGTGTCACGGGCGCCAGACCTGCAGTAAGGCTCATCTTCAGCTACGTAAGCAAATCAGGAATCACTGGCGTAAGCAAAAAAACTTGCTATGTCTTCCCATAAACACTATAACATCACCACGGCCTGCTTATCACTTAGGGCCTACTTCCAACTTGAGCATTGTCTATGTTCTTGGCCCTCCTTTAAGTGTTGTCCCTTCGGGCTTGTTGGGCAGCAACAGAGATGTTTACTTCAATGCCACGTTGTGTTTCTGTTGGACAGCTGCAGGGCTCTGAACTGCCAGAAATACTACCCAAGAGCTTAACTGCCCGGGACGTGTTTTCAATATGCGGCATGTAGAAGTTGTATCTGGACGTTCTCTCAAATAGCACATTCTGCAGAGGTCGGGCGACTGCGTCGTTAATCAGTAGCGGTTTCTAACCAACTTGTGCTCGTGAGCGGTCTCCGCGGTTTAGGGAACAGTTTACTTACTCCACCCACTGCTGGTATAGGGCGTCCGGTTCTTAAGGCATGGGAAAAATGGATTGCACACCCGTCAGCTGCATGGAACGCACTGAAATGTTCAAGCAAGAGCTCCAAAGGAAGATAAGACATCATGGCCACCGAGCTGCGAAGAAATGTAACTCATCATAACCAGAATGTCAACACGTGTTTAAAAGGAACAACAGCTCAGCAGCTCTACGAGTACAAGGATGGTTTTTCGCCTAGCATAACGACAATAGCAATAGTAGTAATAATGATGATAGAAGCAATAACAGTCAGAATGATAATAGGAATAATAAGCGCTATAACAGTAATAAGAATGAATAATAATAGTGGCAATAACGATGATAATAACAGTAATGATAATGATAATAAAAAAATAGTGGTAACAATAGCGGTAACAATAGCGATAATAGTACAATGTACTAGCCCCACGACCAAAGCACCCTCGAAATGACTGATGCCGGGGCCTGAGTCTGAAACCCTAAACCCTAAACTCAAGAGTGGCCTGAGTCTGGAATCTCCTCCAAGATGTCCATGTCAGGAACATAGATGCCTGAGGCTTAGGGGTTCAGGAGCTTTGGCCCCTGCCTTGGTTTAGGGTTCAGGGTTTAAGGGTTTAAGGGTTTAAGGGTTTAAGGGTTTAAGGGTTTAAGGGTTTAGGGGTTTAGGGCTTCGGGGGTTACAGGAGGTTGGAGGCCTAAGAGTTGGAAGTTTAGAAAAAAAGGTTTGAAAGTCTGAGCACATTGGAGGTTTCCCGGGCTTTGCCAGGAGTTTCAGTGCTTGAGGTGGTACACTCCCCATGTGGCAGTTTCCATAAATAGAGAAAACACATGTAGATCCCACAATGTTATAGTTCGTATTCCATGGACCCGAACGACCCCTGGTTTTTGGAAACACCCTAACCCTTGTCGGCTTTGGGCCTGGCGATGTCTTAAGAATACGCGAAGTCGGTGTGTCTCACAATCATGGCTTGCTTTATAAGAACAATAGTCATAGCAATAATGCACCAATAATAGTAATCTAGTAAGAATAGTAACAATAGCAAGAGCAAGAATAGAAACAAAAATAAAAAGCATGGCACTAGTCAAGCGTAGGGCAAAAAGGGTGGAGGAACATGGAATAATCACGTGGAAATTGAGGAGAACTGGCTACTTGAGGAGCCACGGGCGACATGCAAAGTGTTCCTGGACCTGTCAAGAATCTCACGGTTGATCGGGCATTCTGTCCCTAACGCAGCTTCTGACAATCCAATAGGAGAGCAGATTGGACTCCTCCTCGCAATCCACCTAGGTGTGTATATTATGAAATGTATATAATCAAACACTAGCGTATGCAATCGTAGGCTGTGGGATATTACAAATACCTGGTAATTACATAGGTTTTCCTGCCTAACAAACCACTCTTTTGATCGCAGTTGCTCAAGTTCTCAGTGTCTTCCGGCACGACGAAAGCATCGGCGATGGATGACCGAATCGTGCTGGGGATTATCATCCTGAGCCAAGCAACCAAAAATTGTCAGAACACAAGCTGCCGGAACGCATCGGACCGAAAGATAGTTGAACGTTTTCGAGCATGCCATGCGGCCAGCCCTAGCGCTGCCAACGCCTTTCCCTTGCACCCTTGCACTTCACCAACGGGGCGCTGGGCGATACTATTAGTACTGTAATTATAATAACAATAGTAATGATAATAGTAATTAATGAGTAGTAATGGTCATACTAGAAGTAACAGTAATATGCAATAATTGTCATGGCCTCTAGAAAGTCAACATGAATCCTCGCATGCTCCACCGCTCTGCTTCTGCCTGCATCCACTTGCCGCGCCTACTCCGTTTG